TCTTTCACCCACCACATCGGCTCCTCCCACAGCCTCCCTCATCTTAGTAAATGGTAAAAGAAAAAAAAAAAACCCTCCATTTTTAGCCAGCTGTTCAAGCCAAAAACATTAGGATCCTCCTCCTCCATTGCTTTCTTTCCGTTACATCTTAATGTCTGATTCATCAGCAAAAGGTATTGGTTCTACCTTAAAAATGTGTTCAATATTTGACTCTGCTTAACCACAGCTACCCAGTTACCCCTGATCCAAGCTGCCATCAGCTCTCACCTGGCTTATTGCCACAGTCTCCTATCCAGCTCTGCCTCTGCCTTACCCACCCCACCCCCATCCCCCACCCTTGCAATCCACTCTCTACACAGTATCTAGTGGAATTTTTATTAAAACATAATTCAAATCATGTCCCTCCTTCGCTCTAAGCCCTCTAGAGACTTGGACCTGGAGGTGGGACGCAGATAAAAATGGAGAGGCAGAGGGTAAGGTGGGAGGGGGGTTAGTTTGAGGTAGGAATTATATGGGTAGGGGGAGAAGTATGAAGAAAGAAGTGGGTGTGGGACTGGGGCTGGAGCTGGGGTTGGAAATGCCATCTGGTGTGGGGATGGAAATGAAGATAGGGTTCAGTGTCTGGGTGAGGATGAGTTCGGGTTTTTGGGATCAGGTTGAGTTTGGGAACAAGAATGGGGTTAGGTTAGAGGACAGGGATAGGGTTAAATTAGGGGGTGGTGTTGGGGTTAAGGAATGGGCTGTGTTGGGGTTGAGGGTGGAATTGAGTTTAGAATTGGGGTTTGGGAATAAGAGTGGTTAGGTTAGGTTTGGACATTGAGATGAGGTTGAGTTTGGGGCTGGAGCTGGCGTTAAGGATGGGGTTGAGTCTGGGGTTAGGTTTGGGAATGAGAATGGGATTGGGTTGGAGGAAAGGGATGGGGCTAAGGATGGGACTGGAGCCACAGCCAGGATGGGGTTGGGTTTGGGATTGAAGTCAAGATGGCAGATGGGCTCTGGGCTATGACTCCCGTCACCACACGCCCATGGCCCAGACTTCCTGAAGTCTGTCTGTCTGCTCCTCACTGGAGACACGTCCACCGCCATTTTTGTGATGGCACTCTAGCTGCTCATGACCTGAATCCCCTTCTGGGAGCCTGTCCTCATAGGTATGTTTTCAGGAGTGGCCAGTTACCCCCTTGGGGAGGATGTGGGTGAGGGATGGGGGCCTGCAATCTAGAGTCTCCAACCAAAGAGGACCCAGCCTACTGGATCTCGCAGGGCCAGTCTCCCGGTGTGGGAGGAGGTCTGGAGCATCCATCCCTGACATCCTTTACTCTCCATCCCGACTCCCTGACCACAGAAACCCTGATCTTGGTGATAGCCCACCAAGCTGAAGGCCCCGCTTAAAGCAGAGCTATCTGTGAACTCATTTATCAGAGGAGGATGTGGGCATGTCTTCCCCTCCACAAACTTTTAGAGCTGTGATCACTGTTTATCTGCCCTGAGCACAAGCTGCAAGCATGGATCTGGGAGTCTGAGGGCCTCTGCCCTCAAAACCTGGAGTCTAAGCCTCTGACTCCTTCCTCTTTCAGCCCCAGGCATCCTGATCTCCAGCCCTCTCCTTTGGTGGAGACCATAGAGTTGAGACCCCCATCTCCTAGAATGGAAAGTTTCAGAACCCACACACAGGAAAGCATGATGCATCCCCCACTGTCCCCTCTGGCCACACTCCCCCTCCTATTTCAGTCACACCCTGGCCTCACCACATCTCACCTCTGGGCCCCCCAAGCCTCTCTCTCACCTCTTCCAGGAAGCCCCCTGTGCCGTCAAGGGCTCCTAGGGCTTCTGTATAGACAGAGAGGCAAGTTCCAACCACCATCCAAACCACTGACGAGGTGACATCTTCAGTGCCCTTCCCTCCCCGCCACACGCTGTGAGGGGAACCTCGGGGGTGGGGGTGGGGTAGATGCAACCCAGGAAGGGAGGATGTGTGACAAGAGTCAGCTGCTAGGAACTGGGTAAAGCTAAACCAGCCTGGTCTTAAGGTGCTCCGGCCCCCAGGCCACCCCGTCTGCTTGCTGGTTTCTTTCTTGAGCTCAGAGGACCTAGGAGTCCGGGGGCACAGCCTCCTCCTCTCTCAGAGCCCCAGAAGTCTGGATTACCAGCCTCTTGATCACCCAGGACACAGAAACCCCGCGCTCACCCGATGGAGCCCTGTCGGTCCCTGGCCCTGCTGACTGGCTCCCTGGGCCTGACGTCCATCTTGGTTGCTCTGAGCACGAATTTCTGGTTCGTGGCCGAGGGGCCCACCTCTTCATCTCATTCGGGCCTCTGGCCAAAGGGGCAGCAGGACTCAGTAGCAGGTAAGGGGGAGCCATCTCTCTCGGGGAGGGGAACAGCCAGGGCTGACAGGCACTCAGAGGTCCTGTGTCTAAGCAGGCTACATCCACGTGACACAGAGCTTCTGCATTCTGGCCACCCTGTGGGGCCTGATCTCTGTGAGCTTCCTGGTGATGTCCTGCATCCCCTCACTGTCTGCCCCTGGACGTGGCCCCCTGGTCTCCACCTTCACAGCCTTTGCCGCAGGTAAGGGCTCCGGGCTGCACCTGGGGCATTGGGACCTGGGGAGTTTCTGCAAGGGGGCTGAGCTGTCTCTCTCATCTCCGCCCCCAGCCCTCTCCCTGATGGTGGCCATGGTGGTCTATACTATCGAGCGGTGGAACCAGCCTGCACACCCCCAGATCCAGTCCTTCTTCTCCTGGTCCTTCTACCTGGGCTGGGTTTCAACTGTCCTCTTTCTGTGTGCAGGTGACTGCTGCCCTGGGAGTTCGGGGGGAGGCGGAAGGGGGTCCACTGGGGGTTCTGATGGAGCAGGGCAGGGGCAAGGGCTCTAACTTTTCTCTGCCACCCCAGGTGGCCTGAGTCTGGGTGCTCACTGCGGGGCGCACCGGCCCGGCTATGAGAACGTGTGAACCGTATGGATGGCTTTGGGGCTCTGTCCTCTGAAGGCACCATCAGGAGCCGCGGGAAGCTCTGGTTCTCCTCCCGGTCCTCACTCCCAGCCTCTGCAGCCTCCTTCCTTTGTGTCTTCATTCACTCCACAAAAATTTGCTGGGATCCAGTTATTCCAAGGTTAATGTAGCCCCAGCAGAAGCTGATAACACGCCAGCTCCACAGTGGGAGACCCTGGGCACCCAGAGAGTGTTCCCACCCAGGATAGGGGTCAGTGTGGGCTCGGGCTCGTCCCCAGGGCTCTCTCTTCCCTCCCCCTGGCCTTTGTCTCTCCCCTTTGTCTTTTTATCCCTTTTATTCTCGCCCCTCTCTGATTTTGTCACCCTTGCCTTCACTCTTAGCCCTCCTTGCTCATTTCATTAATAAATTCACTCCTGCAGTTGGCTTTCCCTGAGTGCATCCTTTCTGAGGGCGCCTCCCACTGGGGGTGCTGCGGTGGGTCAGACCGGACCCTGCCCACCAGGGGCTGCAAGTCCGGTGCGGGCAGGCAGAGCCCAGGGCGGGCACAGCAGGAAGGCTGGCTGTGTCGTGGGGGTGGGGTGGGGTGGGGTGGGGTGTGGAGGTGAGCTCTCTGAGGAGACAGAGAACTTCTCAAGGGCCAAAGGAAGGTAATGCAGGTAGTGGGATCCTAAGGCAGAGGCGTGGAGAGGGTGGAAGTTCTCAGAGGATGGAGGACAGTGCTTTGTAGCTGAATGGAGAATTTGGAGCTGGTGGAAAATGAGGATGGAGAGACAGGTGGCAGTCAGTGCCTCTAACTCAACAGTTGTCTGTCTCTATCTCTGTCTCTGTCTCTGTCTCTGTCTCTGTCTCTGTCTCTGGTGGGTGATAGGGAGCTAAGAGAAGAGGGTGAACAGGGGAGGGACAGCATCTTCTCTGGGCACCAGAAAGCTCCCTCTGGGGCACGTGAGGGAAGCCAGAGGTGAGGGGAGATCTTGGCCACACAACAGGTGGGACATAAGACAGGACAAGGCTGGGCTGGAGCCAGGGCATGAGATGGGATGGAGGAAAGGAGCCAGAAAGATTCAGGGGGTGGGAGGAACTGGACTCAGGGATCCAAGGGCTTTGTGGAGTGAGGGGCAGGAAGAGGGCAAGGAGAGTGCCCAGGGGGTCTGGTCCAACTAACTGAGTGGGATGATGTGGTCATTTCTGGTTTTGGTGGAAGATGCTGAGATCAACTGGGATATGGTTTAGGGCTAGGGTCTCAAAGAGTGCCGGGAACATGTGAGGATTTAAGGCTAAGGCTCAGGAGGACACCTGGGCTGGAGATGGCATTTGAGATACTCTCAGAGCATCGGTGGTCACTGGAGCTGTGGGAGTGTGGAAGCTCCCCTGAAAAGAAGATACAGAATGGAGCCTCCGAGAGAACCCACACTGGGTGGTGGTGGGAGTAGGAGCAGGAGGCTGCAGGGGGGCGTGGGAGGGCACAGTCAAAGAGCTGGGGACAGGAGAACTTGGGGGGGTCAAGGGAAGAGAAGTTTCTAGAAGGACATGGGCTACCCTGTCATCACCTTCAGACTCCCCTAGTCCTGCGGTTTGACTCTGAGCTGCTACTTTGCTAGAAGAGCTGCCCCATGTGCGTGCGTGCGTGTATGGGTGGGTGGTTATCTCTTTAAACAGCCACGGATTCTGGAATTCCTACTGTCTCACAGAGACCTGGTTTCCCTTCCCCCACCCCTCTGGGCTCTGTCTGAGAAGCCCTGGGAGCTGGAATGAGTCACTTAGGTGAGTGTGTGCAGAGATGAGGTGGGGTGTAGGGGGGGTGGGAGGGTGGAGGAGGGGTGTGGCACTGGACAGGCCAAAGGCACGTGAGGGATGGAGGTTTCTAGAAGACAAGGAAACTCCTAAGCAGTGATGCCTGAGGGGAAAGGAGGTCTTGGGTCTGAGAGGGGCCTGTGGGGGATCCCCATAAGTAGGGGCCCGAGGCAGGGTGCTGGGATAGCCATCTGGGATATGGGGGAACATGTGGAAGAGGGTTTCAGGTACTTGAAGGAATGGGGCGAGGGGCCTGGGGGTGGGAGGGGTGTTGGCCAATCCTGCATGTGTGGTCCTTGGCAGCAGCCTCCCTGGCATGAGGGTGAAGCAGAGCCTTCAGAGTGGGGGCACCTTGCTGGGCTTCTTGGCTACCAGCCTCACGATTCTGTCCACCACCACCAACTACTGGTTCCGCTACTCTGGGGGCCACAGTGGCCTGTGGCAGGAGTGTAACAGTGGCATGTAACCCAACATCCCCGGCCAGAGTGAGGCCCCGCCGCCCCAGTGTCAGACCCCCACTGGACAGACAGCCCCCAGACAGACCGATCACAGCTGGCCCCCTCATCTGACACAACTGCGGGGTACATCCTGCGGCGCCCCCAAACCTACCCTTCCATCTAAGTTCCAGCTACCCCTCCGTGACCGAGGCCACCATGATCTCCCACTTTGGCATCTGCTTCCCTGTTGCAACATTAACGGGCCCTCATGATGTAACTGCCAAGTCCCCATCCAAACCCCTGACTCTGCTGCCAGCCCAGAACTGGCGGGTGGGTTGGTGGCCAGGGGCGGTGCCAGCGGGGCTGATGCGACCCGCTCTCCTCCAGCCATGCCGGCGGTGACTGGGGCGTTCATGGTGCTAGCGGCGGGCTCCGGCATCGTGGGCTTGGTGA